CGACCGATTTCTTATGGATCTCGGAAACTTAAGCCTCATGAGCTTAATTATCCAACACATGATTTGGAGTTGGTAGCAGTGGTCTTTGCCTTGCGTATTTGGAGGCATTATCTGTTGGGTGAATCCTTTAGATTATTCAGTGATCACAAGAGTCTGCAGTACTTGTTCACTCAGCGGGAGCTAAATATGAGACAGCGCAGGTGGTTGGAGTTTGTAAAAGACTATCATTTTTCTATACAGTACCATCCAAGGAAAGCGAATGTAGTGGCGGATGCACTCAGTCGCCGACCTGTTGGTAGTCTTTCTACTCTATTCACTACTGAGTGGAATGCTTTAAAGAGTGTGGATGAGTTATCGGATGCTTTTATGGTTTGCATGGTGGTTACACCTTCCATCATTCGCATGGTTTTACAAGCACAACTCACCGATCAGCAGTGTGTCGACAAGGTCGCAGAGATAGCTTCCGGAAAAATTCCATTCTACTATGTTGGGGCTGATGGAGGTTTAAAGTACAAGAGACGGTTAGTGGTACCTTCTGCTGATAATTTGAGGAAGGATGTGATGACTGAGACTCATCACTCTGAGTTCTCTGTTCATCCAGGAGGCGATAAGATGTATCAAGATATGAAGCGGCAGTTTTGGTGGGCAGGTATGAAGAGGGACATTGCCCTTTTTGTTTCTCAATGTAGTACTTGTCAGATGGTTAAGATTGATCATCAGAGGCCGCCAGGAGCTCTACAGCCACTACCAATTTCGGAGTGGAAATGGGAGAGCATATCTATGGATTTGGTGGAAGGGTTGCCAAATTCTTTCAAGGGACATAATTCCATATGGGTCATTGTGGATAGGTTGACCAAGTCAGCTCATTTCTTGCCTATTTGCACTGACTACACTTCGGAGCAGTTAGCAAGGCTTTACATTTCAGAGATTGTGAAGCTACATGGCATTCCATTGTCTATTATATCGGACAGGGATTCGAGCTTTGTATCTGGATTTTGGAAGAGTTTTCAGCAGGCTTTAGGTACAGAGTTACACCTTAATACTGCTTATCATCCTCAGACTGACGGACAGACTGAGAGGGTGAATCAGATTATGGAAGATATGCTTCGGTATGTGTGTTCTGGATTTCAAGGGCCACTGGGAAGAATATTTGCCACTTGTGGAGTTTGCTTATAACAATAGTTTCCAGAAGACTATTGGCATGGCACCATTTGAGGCATTGTACGGTCGACCGTGTCGGTCACCTGTTTGTTGGATGGAGGTTAGAGAGAATCGATTCTTAGGTCTTGAGTTCATCAAGGATACCTCTGAAAAGATTGCTCTTATTCGAGATCGCATGCGTACTGCCCAAAGTAGGCAGAAGAGCTATGCTGATCATCGTACTCGGGCTTTGGAGTTTCAGGTTGGGCATCAGGTTCTACTCAAAGTGTCTCCTATGAAGGGTGTTATGCGCTTTGGGAAGAAAGGGAAGTTGTCACCGGGATTTGTTACGGATCGCATTGGAGCTGTTGCTTATCAGTTAGCACTTCCAGATACTTTGGATCGCGTCCACAACGTGTTTCATGTTTTCATGTTGCGGAAATTTCTTCGAGATGAGGATCGGTATCAGCATATCGATGTTGGGGAGATTGCGTTGCAGCCGGATGCAACTTATTTAGAGCCACCGTATCGTATTGTCGACCGACGAGATCAGATTCTTCGTAATAAGGTTATTCCTTTGGTTCGTGTTCAGTGGAGTCATCACAATGAGTCTGAGTCCACTTGGGAACGAGAGGATGTCATTCGCTCACGGTTTCCTGAAATATTGGAAGAAGGTAAGAGAGAATTCCGAGGACGGAATTCCTTTTGTTAGGGGGGAAGAATGTAATACCCCTAATTTTATAAAGGATATTCCTGGTATTTAATGGTATTTAATTTATTATTTAAATGCATTTTATTTGATTATGTGTCATTATTTTTTTTATTAGGTGCTTAATTGTTTTCTTTTGTGGTGATTTAATTTATTTCTTTTGTGGTGATTTAATTTATTTATAGTTATTTGATTGGAAATACTTGTTAGTGTTTTAATTATTTAAGTGGCATTAATGGTTTAAGTGTATTTGGTTTAGTTATTTGATTGGAGTTACTTGTTAGTGTTTTAATTATTTAATTGGGATTAATGGTTTTAGTGTAATTGGTTTAATTATTCTATGCGTGTTTTATTTATGTGTGTCTTATTTGGTTTAATTGGGTTTACTAATTATTTTTGTTTAATTAGATTATTTGTGAAGTATTTAATGGTGAATAGGGTAATTAGGTAAATACATCTAACTAGGGTTTTAATTACAGTATAAATTAGAGTTTTATATTATAGCCGTCGTAGGTTTCTACGTTAATTGGATGGGCCGGTTAGGATTGTGAGTTAGACTTATATGAACCTAGGGTTTAGGAAAACTCTATAAGTATAAGGTAGATATCTGTGTAGGATTTTTTTTAAACAAAGCACACGTTTTGTGGAAGTGGAGAAGGAAAAACGCAGTTTTTCACATTCTGCCAAGGTTTGATCAAAGGTCCGATCCCGCTTCGTCCGTGGTCCGATCTAGCTGAAATTTGGAGGATAGGTTCATGACTCAGTGTCGCATAATCTGAACGGTGGAGATCAGATTTTGAGTTCGGGAATAGTGTTTCGTACCCGTGAACAGTAATCGGGTTTTGGAACTCGCCGGGATTTTTTAAGAAGACGACGTTGAAACTTTGAACAAAAGTTTCTGAGGCAAGATTTTATCCTTACTCTTTCCCTTAGGCTTCATACTCTTTGCACTCTTAAATGATTCCAGGATTAATGAAGATTAAACCAAACTAAAATGATATCTGTTTTGCTATGAAACTAGTAGTTACAGTAGTGTTGTATGCTTGTTCAACCTAGACTAAGCATGTTTGTGGATGCATTGTGGTTCTGTGGTTCACGTTTTTCCTTACCACTGCTAGTATAAATTATTGGAAGGATGGGTCTAAATGATAGCTATCTTAACTTCTGTAATAGCAACTGTTGGAACTTAAATACTAGGAGGATTTGAGTTTAACACTAGATCGGTTTTGTGGAACACTATAATTTGAGCATGTCTAAATACATACTGTGAATATTGTTTTGATGCTTACATTATCACAGTTAGTATCAACTGTGGAGGTTAGGATTTTGTGATACATACCCTACATATCTGTATGTCATTTGTAAGGTGTTAAATGAAAGTTTTAATTAATTCTGTCTTTATATCAGACTAAAGGGAACAACTTAAATTGGGCATGTATATGTTGTTGTTGTGACCCTGTTTATCAATGCTTATTTTATCACTGCTAACATTGAATGTTGGATGTTGGAATTTAGTTGATATGTACTTGATTTATTGGTATTATTGACTACTGGAGGATTGGAAAGTAGGCACCGGTATGGGACGGTGGCATATTAAGGATGGGTTTGGTTTTTAAAACAATATCATTACCCACCTACTTGGAATAAGGATGGGATTAACTAAAAGTTAAGTCCCGTGGATTTGTATTGTAATGGCAATTACTTGTTGAGCGGCAATACCAGGGATTTTGGATGGATTTTATATATGTACTGTTATGGTGCCTCGGTATGAACTTGAACCTCAGGACCGATGGCTAGGGAGCGTATATGCATCGGGATGTGTAGCTGGCTACGATAGTTGGAGGTGTACCCTGTTTAGGTATAGGTACATATGCCCACTTCGTGTGCGTTTTAGCATGTTACCTCTATTCAGGTTGAGACCAGCCTGTAGTCCAATGAGAGTCCTTTAGTGTGACTATATATATATTTACGAACTATTAGCTATTGTTGAATTGTTTAGGATGTACATGCGTATCGGGCCTCTGTTTGGATTGTAGTAGTATAGAACTTGCGCGTGAGCCTGACCCACTTCTATTTTTCAGGTACACGACAGTTCCAGGCTTAGACGTGTTCGTGCTGAGTAGAGGTCTCTATTCACTATTCCGACGATGTAGGGCTCTCTCTATAGTTTTATTTCTGGACGTTTATTACATTTGTTCTATCTTCCGTTTGGATGTTTAATAGGGGTCCACTAGAGATGGATTCCCAAGTTGTAAATTGATGGAGTTTTGGAGTTTTGGAGTTTGGGTTTGATGGATTTTAATAATTATAATATTTTGCGGATTCTATTTTGTATTCCTTCCAGCTTTAATTTCATTTCTTAATTTATTTTGTATTCCGTGTTCATTATAAAATATTAATTGTTTGATATTCCTTCGGGTTTGGGCCTGGGCCTGATCAACCCGTGTCTCGGATCCGAGGGATATCTCAGTATATAACAAGGTGATGCATAAAAAGATTGATAGCAAGTCACGTCCCAAAAATGGAGCATTGAGCCACATGGACTTTACATTAAATGGGTTTTCACATAATTTTGTTGTGGAAGAAGTTCTGGCCTGAATAGAGGATTGTTCAGTGGTCCAAAATTGTGTCTTTGGTTAGCTATATTCCTCAACAAGCTTGATTACAAATTTATTTATTTATTTATTTATTTATTTATTTATTTATTTTAATAAAAGTTAAAGCAATTCATTCATACACCCTATCTCTATTGAGGCTCGAACTTTTTACCTCTCTTTGAAAAGTAGAGGCTTGATACTGTTGAGCCACTAATCCGTTGGTACAAGCTTGATTACTTGTCTAGACTGAAGCAGGAGGGAGTGCTAAGGATAGACACCAGTGTTGGTCATATTTGGCCTTTCTTAAACAATGAATGCCATATTTAATGGCCGATGGAAATTAGGATACCTATTAATTGCCTAAAATAATTCTTGCTGCTGCTACATATGAAATTTGGAAGGAAAGGAACTGCAGAACTTCTGAGAAATCAAATTATTTATACATAGCAGTTAATTGATACAGAAATGTTATTGAAACTTCCCATTCGGGCTAGTCTAAGTAAATGAACCGCATCAATGTTTAATAGATATAACATAAAATATAACCTTGTGAACTAAGCAAACTGAGAAATGAGGGCTACTACAGTCTGTATCAGAGTGAGTAAAAGGAGCACGCCAGCTGCAGCTGTTGAAATACTTGCCCATGGGTTGTGGAAATAGGTGCGCCTTAACTTCGCCTTGGCTCGATTCCAAGGTTTTCTACAATGGTTTTTCACCTTTTGGCATACTTGTGAGTAATAGAAAGTTGGTGGATTTATCATTACTCCATCGCCCAGCTTGTTGAACATACGAGCAACCTCCTCATCATCACCCAACCAGTTTTCCATAATTCCTCGGAGACGAAGTATATTCACATCTTTCTCCGTGTTGATGAGCGAATCCATAATGGACCTATAATCTGTGAAATATTTGAGTTCGACACTAGAAGAATGCTGCTCGTAGGCAACAATGTTACGCAAGAATCTCTCGGTGTCATCTGTCACTTTAAATATAGGGATTTTCAGGTGACCATGCTTGAAGGTTATATCAAAAATGCTAACATCCTCACTCTCATCAGCATTGAACCTAATACTAGCCTCTTGAAGCTCGGTCACGCTAGGCATCCGGGTACAGATTTCATGACCACTTGAATTAGATACAGAGGTTCTGTTTGAATTAGAATCCTTCCCAAACAAGGGAAGATAAATATTATGCGCCAAGTCAAGAAAATGCTTGCTTTCACTAGCAGGTTCCTTCATAACCAGTTGGGTAATAGCATTCCAAACAGACGTTTTATGAGGTAGCATCAGAGCTATAGGAGAAATTGCCATCCCCAAGAGGGGAATAACTATGGAATTTTGTTTAAAGATCATGTCAAGCAATTCAAAGAGAAGGAAGAAGGGAAGCTGGTTTTCAAGCAATATTAGGTCGCGGTGGATTTGTGTTTCCATCCAAGATGATCTGAAAATAGGGTCCTCCTTATCTCTATACTCTGGATAATGTTTTTTCAAAAGAAACTCGATAATAAAGCAAGCATCAACGAGCAACATTTCCACAAATTCCTTTCTCTGGAGACCTGTGGGGCTTCAGCTTTATCAGCCAAGTCCTCCATCTGGAGGAGGTAAGGCTCCACATTGATCATCGTGGTGTCATGAATATTATCATATCGTCGAAGAAAGGAACGCAAATAACGCAACTTATGCTCTTCCATTGCAAGTAGGTTGGACGTTCCATGGTGGTAAGGCCCTATGGATACCAGTATGGGTGTGTATGCTTTTTCATTCACGCTGCGTAGTCCCTCGTGCACTCTGAATATACTAGGTTCAGGGAGTAGAGGTGGCAAACCTTGAATCTTTTTGTTCATGCGTTGCGCTGTTTCTCGAGTAACAATTTCATTTGAAACACTGGAAGTTTCTGGAGGAAGATTTCCACTCGAACTAGCTTTATTAGTTACTTCAGTCGGATCTGGAACAACTTCTTTCCCACTATTGGTGCAGTGATCCGTCATTATCGTGATCTATATATCACCTAGTTGTTTTATATATCAATCTTGTGAAGATCAGGAAAATGCATGGAAACCAATTTATATATATTTTCACAAACATACATGCGTGTGTATATTTAGGATGCAAAACAGGTGAATAAAATATGTGAGAATACGAAGAGAGAATCTTTTTAGTTTTAGATAGTAATCTTCTTTTCTTTTCTTTTTTCAAATTCTCAAACATGTATTTTTTAGAATTGTTTAATGTCTCATATTAGAATTGTCAAAACATTTTCAATTTTTGGGCCAAAAGTTGAAACACCATTATGGTGTTTTATCATGTTTTGGGTACTGTTGGCCCAAATAATTACCGTAGCGGAGGAGGTAAAATGACCCAATTTAAACCAGACTTGCAACATGTATATAAACCATGCTTAAAACATTCTAGTCATTTATCATTTTCTCAGTTCCCAAACAAACTCGGAACTAATTTACCTTCTTCTCTTATTTTTTGGTCTGATTTTACGCTTTCGTTTTTGACGCCCAATCTCAGTCCTTTTCGAATTCTCGCCGAAAACCCTTGGATTCCAGCAATCAAACAAGAGAAGATGGTGTCACCGGAAGAGAATTCGAATTGGCTTTTAGATTACGCCATCATCGAAGACATTCCTGTCCTCGGCGGTAACCTCCCTGCCCTCAAACCCGATTTTCAATGGCCCTTTTTTTTCTACGCTTCTAGAAGTCATCTTTCAAATAGTTTGGTCTTCTAGGCATTTTTGTCAAATGAGGCTTTAAGGTTCTATGATTAGTTTTGAATACATGGGCTTAACCTAAAAAAAAAAAAAAAAATAAGCACAAATATATTTGATTTGTAATGACATCTAGTTCCCCGAAAAAATGTCAAGTATATAAGAAAATTTATATTTCTTTTCTATGAGGAGTTTTTGTACTGTACGTGGAAATTCTTTTTGGAAATTTTTAAGAGTGGACATTGTTGGAAATTCTTTTTGAAAATTTTTAAGAGTGGATCAGGTGGGTAATGGATGTTGTTGTAAATTGGCAACTTCCATTGACTAGTTTGGTACTCATAAATTTTTCAATTAAATCAATTGAGTTTATCTGCTATGAAGTTTGTGTGTTCAAAATGATTACTATTTATATAGAAATAAATTTATAAATATACTTAAAATTTATAAAAACAAATTAAAAATAATGATAACTAAAAATGTATTTTGTATTTGTTTTATTTTTTTAGGCAACCGTTGAAGTGACCAAACATGTTTTGTTTTTAAAATTCTTGAAACGTATGACATACCAAACATGTTTTGTATGTTTCTGTTTCTGACATTTTCATAACAAAACATCGTTCCCAAATGTGTTTTTGCCAAAAACAAAACGCGTAAAACAAAGCGCATGCCAAACAGACCCTAAGGTTCATAAATAGGGGAAAAGATTGATTAATTACTAGAAGGCTGGACAAAATTTTTATTTTTTATTTTTTATTTTTTAAGTTGGACCGAATTTTGGTTAATGACACTTGGCTCTCAACTTTTTGATCACTCCTTGGCAATAAACCCTTTAGATTTTTTAGTTTCGTAGGTGACCATTTCGATTTCATCCCTACTGTTGAGAAAATATGGGTCAGTGCAACAATGGAACTTTTATGTTTGTTATAACTCAAAACCTAATAGCATCTCTAATGGTAAAATACTAAATTCCGATGCCAAATTTATATTTTGACAGTGTTACAGTGTCAAAATGTTACATTTTAGCAATTCTACTCCAATGATGCATTTTATGCAAAATGCTATTTTTGACACAACTACTATTCTTTTTCAACTGCCATTCCCACCATTCATATTAGCATCAGTAATGTTAATATTAGGCACATTCCAAGTTAAGTTGTAGATATTAGAAGGAAGTTAAAATTAAACTTAATTAAAAAGAATAAAAAATCTAAAATATCTGGTAAAAAAAGACCCAAATATATATATATATATATATATATATATATATTTCTAAAAAAGAAAAAAAATTATATAAAAAAATTTATATAATAATATAATCTATACATACATATATTTGATATAAAAAAATTATATAAAAAAATTTATATAATAATATAATCAAAATATATAAATTTATACATACATATATATATATATATATATATATGTATATTATATATATTTGATCATATTATTATTAAAAATATATATATATTTAGGGCAAATCATTTCAGCCTCCCCAATAGCCTCCATCTCTATTCTTGTTCTCAACTCTGAAATCCCCCCCCCCCCCCCTCTCTCTCTCTCTCTCTCTCTCTCTGTGTGCAACTGCAAACTATAAAATCAACAAGAATCAGGAGTTCAAAACCCATATCTTTCATTTTCCATCGCTCGTTGTCCCAATTCGGGTTCACCATTCGCAAGCTTCAGCCACTGTCTCTCAACTCTCAAGCTTGTCCCCTTCTCTCTCTTTGCAACTGCTAACTTGTACGTATGTGTTTTGTTTTTTTTTTTTTTTTTTTTTTCTAAATCAACTAATCAACGTCTTTAATTCTTGTTTTGCAAACTAAATCCTATTTGGTGAAATTTTTTATGATTTTTTTCAAAACCAGAGAGATCCATTTTCAATAAGATGATATTGAAAAAAATAATTAAAAAAAAAAAAAAAGAATTACCATGATGCAGAAATTAGACAACAGAAACAAGAAAAAATCCACAAAATTACCGATCTGAGAAGAAAGAGATAAATATATATATATACACACACACATATATGAGAATGAGGGGGAAGAGAAAGTACAAAAATAGACAACAGAAGCAAGAGGTGGTGGTTGCCGTCGATGGCCGGTCGTTGCAAATGGATGAGAGCACGAAAGAGAGAGAGACGGATAGGATTGAGAGATATAGAAATAGCTATTGCTATAAGTTTTGCTAGATTTGGCACCAAAAATGGCAAAGGCAAATTTTGGCAGTTGAAATAGCAGTCCATTGGAGATCCAAATTTTAACCCACCTGCTATATTTTGAATTGGCAGCCCATATGGCAGGTGGGTTGGAGATGCTCTAAGGCTTATTAAGATGAGCTGAAGAAGCTAAATTTAGTTGCTCATTGAAGCTTTAAATTATTTTTTAAGAATCTCAAGTCTGTCAACTAATAACCAAAAAAGATTTCTTTTTACTAATGGATTGAACATATATTTCAACTAATAACCAAAAAAGATTTCTTTTTACTAATGGATTGAACATATATTTCTAAAGAAAGAGGAGTCCGGCAGGTCACTGCTTTTGGCAAAGGTCAGATCCCCATAGAATATTTTGGACCCCTCTAATCTAAACTAGATTGAAAGTTGTGGATTGTAATGAGCTTGTCCAGAAAATTACCAAGAGAATTAAAAACTGGGTTAACAGATTTATTTATTTATTTATTTGTAAGTTGGTAGGGTTCATCTTATTAAAGCTTTCCTATTCTCCATCAAAAAAAAAATTCATCCCAAAGAGTTCTAAATGACATCAACCAGGCCTTTAAGAAAAATTAGAAAATGCTTTTAAGTACTATGAGTTGTAGTGAATTGATGGATCTAGAAATTCATACGAGGAGGGCAAATTTATATAGAGGGGTTTTTTCATAATTTCAGTGAGAATAATTTCAAAATTTTATTAATATAAATATAAAAAAAATATAAATGTAAAATATAATAATAAAAAATTTCAATGGAACGAATGTCCACAATGAGCCCTTCACATATCTGTCCCTCATTATGCATTCAAAATATAAGATCCCACTCCCTCGTGTGTTACAAACTAGACCAATCAATAGTATCTGGTCAAGTAATTCTCTTTAAAAGTTCGCCTAAGTAGCACTACTGTAAAGAGTCATGAAAAGGGAATGTCATCAACTCCAAGGAGCAGAAGTTGTATGGGATAAAGTGTGCAGTGGCTCCCAGCCTCCTGGCGTTAGCCCGTAAAAAGGAGAAATAATACCTGTACTAAGGTAAAGTAATGTAAGTTTTCTCTCTCTCTCTCTCATTAAGGTAAAGTAATGTAAGTTGCTGATAATTTTAGAGTTGGACTGTTAAAAAATCAAACGGGTGGGTAGATACAATTTTTGGAGTAATTTCAACAAATTCGTTTTGACTATAATAAGGCCATACTTTGATTTGAAACGACCCCAACTTTAACAAAACCCTACTCTAATTTGACACAACCTAATATGCAAAACTACTTTAACAAGACCATACCCTGATTGTATTTTATCAATTTTGAATATTTCGGGTTCTTGCTAGAAGTTTGAACAAATGCCATTTTTCTTTTTATTTTTGGTATTAGTTGCTTTTAATAAT